GCTGGCCTTCGTGGTCCCGTTGCAGCCCCTCGTGGCCCCGTTGCAGCCCTTAGTGGCCCCGGTGCAGCCTTTCGTGGACCCCTCGCTTTGTTTCGTGGCCCCGTTGCAGCCCTTCGTGGGCCCATCGCTTTGTTTCGTGGCCCCGTTGCAGCCCTTCGTGGCCCCGTTGCAGCCCTCCGCGGCCCCTTCGCTGCCCTTAGTGGCCCCGTTGCAGACCTTCGTGGCCCCCTCGCTGCTCTTCGTGGCCCCATATATGTATGCCCTTCGTGGCCCCGTTCGTTCGCGCCCGTGGTGGCCCCATATGCATGCCCTCCGTGGCCTCGCTGTCGCCCTTCATGGCCCCCTCGCTGCCCTTCGTGGCCCCGTTGCTGCCCTCAGTGGCCCCGTCCTTGCCTTCCGCGGCCAAATATACGTATACCCTTCGTGGCCCCCGCTCGTTCGCGCCCGTTGTGGCCCCATGTGCATGCCCTTCGTGGCCCCGCGGTCGCCCCTTGTGGCCCCCTTACTGTCCTACGTGGCCCAGTTGCTACCCTCAGTGGCCCCATCGTTGCCTTCTGTTGCCCCGCATTATCTGCCCTTCGTGGCCCCCACTCGTTCGCGCTCTTCGTGGCCCCATACGTATTCCTTTCGTGACCCCGCTGTCGCCCTTCGTGGCCTACTCCGTGTCCTTCGTGGTCCCGCTGTCATTCTCTCGCTCTCGCTTTCGCTCGTCGTCGCCGTCGTCGTCGTCGCCGTCGTCGTGGACGTCGTCGTCGTCGTGATCGATCCCTTGTCCGTCCCTCTTGGGGTGGGGTCGACGGTCCGCGGCCGCCCCGCCGATCAGCGCTGCCGCTGGCCAGGCCGACGGTCCACGGCCGCCCCGCCGCTTGCCAGGGCCCGGCCTGCAGGGAAGAAAGGTATACTGCCCAAAAAGGGCTCGATCGAAGACGAAGAGGGCGGGTATCCAGGGTTTGGGCAAAACGCGTTATTGGACACTTGAGCAGATAAGGGCGAACAGTCTTAAAATGATTGTTGTTGTGGTTGTTGTTGTCATTGTGATTGTTGTCGTTGTTGTTGTCGTTGTCGATGTTGCTGTTGTTGACTTTTCACTTCTACAGAATAGTTATTGTTGTTCTCCGGAGACGATTCCGCGCGCTCTCGCTTCCACGCCGGCTACATTTTCTCTGAAAGCGAGGCTCCCGCTCGAGCGTTGCCTTGAGCTTAAATGTGGGCTTTTGGAGGCCCAGCTACGACAACAACGGCTCCCCCTCGATACTTCCTCACAATTTACCCCGAGACACCCTGGCCAGAGAGGCCCCCGAACTCAGAAACGGCGCTCTCTCATGAGACTTTTCGCAACTCAATTAAGTCGGCGGAGGCCCAGCCACGATGACAAGGATTCCTGGTCGATACTTCCTCACGATTTATTCCGAGAGCCCCAAGAAGGCCCCCGAATTCAGGAACGGCGCTCTCGCTCGAGACTTTCCTGAAGTTCAAGCAAGTTGGTGGAGGCCCAGACACGGCGACAAGGGTTCCCGTTAGATATTTCTCCTTAGGTATTCCGAGAGCCCTTGGCCAGAGAGGCCCCCGAACTCAGGAACGGCGCTCTCGCTCGAGACTTCTTCGCACTTCAGCCAGTGGCTGACGCGGAAGATAATTCCCCCTGAAAAGGGGGTGCAATCGAAGACGAAGTGGGCGGGTATCGAGGGTTGGGGTATACGGAATGGAAGACACGCGTGCAAGTAAGAGCGAACAGTCTTAAAATGATTGTTGCTGTTGCTGCTGCTGTTATTATTAGGCCTATTTTTATAATTAGTAATAGTATTAGTAGTATTATTATCAGTATGACTATCAGCATTGTTATTTTAGTATGACTGTTATTATTGTCATAGGTTGTTTGTTTGTTTGCTTGTCTTTGCTCTCTTTGTTGTTTCGGAAGGCGGCGCGGCTTCGGAAAAACCTCAACCAGAAGGCTTTTCGGAGGGTCCGAGAGGCCCTTCCGAGCCTCCCGAGAGAAGGGCCGCCCCCCCCCCCTTTTCTCTGCCTTCCCTCTCTGGGCCTGCCGCCAGGGAGAGAGAGGGAGAGAGAGAGGGAGAGTGAGGGAAAGAGAGAAAGAGAGTCTCCTCCTCCTCCTTCTCCTCCTCTTCCTCCTCCTCCTCTTCCTCCTCCTTCCCCGCGAGAGAGAGAGAGAGAGAAAGACAAGCGTCGACGCCGTCGAGATGAGCATCTAGATGCGCTTCTTGACGCTCATGCGAGCGCCACGCCGGCAGAGAAAAAGGAACTGAATCGCAAGATCTACAGGTACCGCCGGAAGCAACGACAGGAAACTGCAGACCAGAGAATCCAAGAGGCTGCGACGACCGGCGCGCTACCATCCGATTGCCGCAAGAACCTTACGGCGAATTGGGGGAAGCTTTTCAATGGCGGGGATCCCGCAGAGAAGCTCGGCAGCCATTTTCAATCGATACACGGGTTCGAAGACCGATTGCAAGCAGAAGCGGAGAGGCACTACAAGTCTCACTACATGAGCCTCTTGCGAGATTTGCGAATTGATATGACGCCTTGGCGGATTACGGAAAACCGCTTGCGCGCAGCAACTGGGAAGCTAAAGGTGGGAAAAGGAAACCCTGACGGATGCGCGACCGAAATGTATCGCAAACTTCCTCCGGCAGCCCTTGTCACCTTGGCCGTTTCTTCAGCTCAGTGTTTGCGTCGCTCAGTTTCCCGGCAGCGTGGGTGCAAATGATGGCAGTCTTGCTTCCCAAGGTTTGCAGCCCGGCAAGTCTGGCCAAATTCTGGGGCATTTCATCGCTTGTGACGGCCAGGAAGATATTGGGCGATTTATGGATGCAGATGTTGCCGCCGTTGCGCTTGGAGTCGTTCCAGACAGGGTTCGTCCCAGGCAGTCATGCTTCTCAGGGAGTGTTTGCCGTGCAACGCGCTGCTGAACTGAATCGCGAATGGGGCCAGAAGATCTTTGTAGTTCAGCTGGATTTGAAGAAGGCGTTTGACAGAGTGCTGCACTCGGCTATCATCAAAGCTCTCAAACTCCAGGGCGCGTCTCTGCAGTGCATCGCCGTGCTCTGCGCTGCGTTGATGAGCACAGAGATCGCCTTCACCCTCGGCCATATCACGTCGGACCCAGTACCCCTCGAACGGGGAGTGCCGCAAGGCGCGCCGGAATCGCCAATTTTGTTCATCATGGTCACAGAGATGGTGCTGCGACCGCTGCTGTCCAAATGGCGATCTCAGGGGAAAGGCTGGTGTCTTGACAGTTTCTGGCTCGGTGCTGTCGCTTTTGCTGACGATATTCTTTTGGTTGCCAAGACACTATCCGAAGCTCAAGCCATGTTGGCGGAAGTCGTCGAGGCGTTTTCTGCAGTGGGGCTCGACGTCGGAGCAGAGAAGACCCACTGGAGCTCCTGGCCGCGGATGCCCGGAGTCTCGTTGAACATGGCGAATGAAGCGATCCCTTGGTCAGAATCTATTTTTTTCGTTGGGAATGTCATTGACCTCAATGGGAATAGCGGGGCAAGCATGGAGCTTCGTATCCAGCAGGCTGACAAGGTATATTACCGCTGGAAATCTGTCTTCCAGTGCCGACATGCACACCGAAGGAGGAGACTAGCTTTGGGTTCGCAAATTCTGATGGCGTCTGCTTTGTGGTTCGCTGAAACATGGAATCTCACCAAAGAGCAGCAGCGTAAGTTTAACAGTTGGGCAGCAAAGCGCATGTCAGATATTGCCCGGATTCGCCGTCGCGGTGCTGAAACCATGGGCGTCTTCTGGAGGCGCCTCTACAGGACTGGCCACACCCTCATGGAAGACACAGGTGGCTCTGCAGAACACAGGAGACGCGTGCGTCTACATCGTTTTGCCGGACATCTTGCGCGCATGGGCGGCATCTGCGCAGATGCCGTGCGTACCCGGTGTCTCGCGTGGTGGAGGTACCGGCAGAAACGGCACCATGATAAAAGATGCGGGGTCCACCCTGCGCGTTTCAAAGTCTGGAGATGGGAGTCCCAATTGGCATATTTTTACGGCGAAGTCGAATGTGATGACCCATTCCGCACCGCAGCCGGCTGGATGCAGCGGGCCCAAGACCGAGCTCGGTGGAAGCAGGCAGAGAGCGCCTTCGCAGCAGCGTAGAATTCTGTCATGTATCATACCGTCGCCTCTCTGTGTGCTTCCTTTCTTGCCTTCCTTTTCTTGCTTCGCTCTTGGCTCTCAGCTCCTCCTCCCTTTTTCCCTCTCCGTGGCCTCCCCCCCCTTGCCATGTGTGCCCTTGCCCTTTGTGGTGTGTGTCCTCCCTCTCTGTCCCTGCTTGGCTTCTCCCCCCTGTCCCCCGTCTCCCCGTCCGTCGGCCCGGTCTGTCTTTCTGTCGCCCTTTCTTTGCCCCCCCTCCTCTCCTCGGCTCCTCGGCTCCTCGCTCTCCCGCTTTTCGTTTCCCTTGCTTGTCCCGCGTTTCTTTGTCGACCTGGTCCGAATAAGAGTCGCGCGGTCGAGGCTGCTGCGCCGGCAAATCGCCGGGCACGTCATTTTCACGATTTATGCAATTCCGCAGATAGCATGGTCAGACCTGTGGTGGTCCCCTCCAAGGGGTCTTCATATCACCAGAACAGAACAGAACAACAGAAAGAGAGAGAGAGAGAGAGAGAGAAAAAAAAAATATCAGCCAGCGCTGACTCCAAATAGATAGATGGACAGGAGAAGAGCGAGAGAAGGAGAAGACGAGGAGGAGAGGACGCCAAGCATGAAATGGCAAGCAAAATACACGAGCCATTGGAAATAAGGGGGGATGCCATTGGAAAGAGGGGGGCGGTCCTAAAGACCGATTACTTATGATGAGCTAGGACTCCTAATTATAGGTAGGGCACGCCTACTTGGAGAAAAAAGAGCGAGGGGCAGGGAGGGAGGGAGAGAGCGAGAGAAGGGGGGAAGACGGGGGGGGGGGGAAGGCTGGGAGAGGGACACACGGCGGGGGGGGGGCCAGCCCCCTCTCGCTCCCGCGGCCCCGGCAGGTGGCGACGGCTGCTGGGCGGCGGCACGCCGGTGGCCGCGGCGGAGCTGGAGGCGGCCGCACTCCTCTGCGCTGCCGCCACGGGCCTGGCCCCGCCGGACGGGGTGCAACACGCACATCCCCCCCCCGGGGGCGGCCAAGGGGGGGTGATGACTGCTCTAGGCCTCCTAGATGGTCAGGCGATCGCAAGCGTGGATGAAGGGGGCGTGGATTAGCGGCGGGTCCCGTTTCCATGGGAAATCGCGGGCTTCCGCCGCCGAGCGAGGCGGCACAGGCCGCATTTTGGGGAGCGCCAAGTTCATGGATCGCTAATCCATGTTTTCGCGCCCCTGATACTCTAGGCTTCCTAGTTAGGGTCCGAGTAGATGGGGTCGGAGGATCCCAATACTTTCCATGCCGACGTCGCGGATGCGTCGCCGATGCATCGCCGATACATCGGCGATGCACTGACGATGCGGCGCGATCCTTCGACCTCATCTGCTCGGACCCCATCTAGGAGGCCTCTGACTACATTGGAAACTCATGCCAAGAAACACCCTGCTTGCCTCCAGGGTTCCCTGGGCTTTTTGGGTTTCGATGGTTCTGCTAATTATGGAGAGCGTGGCGTTCCCAATCTAAAATTCCACGGACGTCCTGGGGTCTCAGGGTTGGGTTTTTTGTGGAAGGTTTCTTGCCGTCGAGCTCCTACTGTAGGGGGGGGCGAGTGTATCATGGTCGGGGCCGTGCTGCCTCACCGAATTTCGTGGCCCCTCTTCCTGCTTCAGTGCGTCCCTTGGCCCCCCCCACGGAGCCGCGCACATGCATCGGGCCGTGATTTGCGACCCCCCCCCTCTTGGGCGCCCCCCTCCCTGGGCGCCCCCGACCTCGGACCTGTCCCAACTAGGGGCGCCTCTGGCGATAGAGTGCCGAGGCATTGCGTCCACGTCTTTTCGCGGGGGCCAAGCCGTTTCAGTTCCGCCTGAGTCTGGATCTGCCGCTTAAGGGGCAGATCCAGATCCAAAGGGGATCTGAAATCAATGCAAGTTCGAGCAAGAAACACAAAAACATAAACTTTCGACGGTCCGCGCGGATGTCTTGGATCTGCGCTGGGTCCCCCTCCCTGGCGCGCTCCGCGCGCCAGGGGCGGCGCTGAAGGCGCCGCCAGGGGGCCCCAGCGCAGATCCAAGAAATCCGCGTGGAGCGTCGAACGTTTCTGCTTATTTTTTTGTTATTCGTCGATACATGAATGGTAAAGGCGCGAAGGCCTAGGCGCCTTTCCCTTACCCTGACCTCCCAGCGCTGCGCCAGGCAAGCAGGAACCGACAGAGCTCACTGTTTTCCCCAGAGACTGCGGGGGCAGGCCCGAGACGGCAGCGCCCCCGCCCACGAAGCAGGCCGAAATTGCGACAACACACACACACAATCACACACACACACACACCACTTTTACGACGGCACGCGTGTGTGATGTTGGAGCCGGCCAGAAGGCTGAGGTGCCCCAGCACCGGTTCTGGCCAGCAGAACGAGGGAGAGAGGAGCGTCCTCGTTGCCACGGTTGGACGCGGCTTGAAATAGATATCAGTTTCGACCCCAGGAGGTCCGATTCTGAGCGAATTGTCCTTCATCCCACCCTCTTGACATATTTTCTCTGGGCTTCTCAAGCTCGAACCCCTGTCCGCCTCCAACTATGATGTGTGCCACGCGCTGGGTAAATTAGTGGCGCGATTGCAAGAGCCCGCAGTAGGTCAGATTCATAATGCATAGTGTTAGCCCATATCTCCAACAGCGCTGTCTTGGATGGGTGCGGACAGAGCCAGCGTTGACTAGCTCGCTCCCAGGGTAGGGATTTGAGCCTAGGCAGCCTTTAGCAAGCGGAGCGCTGGAGTGACAGGGGGGGTCTCGAGGGAGTGGGCGGGTCTGGGCCAGAGGGGTCCTCTTCTGTTGCTGCTCCTGCTTCTGCTGCTCCTCAAGTGGCTCCTCTCCTGCTTCTCACCCGAATGTCTTCCTCCTCAGTTGGCGCTTCACGCCTCCCCAAAGGCTGGCTTCGCCTAACACCCCCCCTTTGGACACTGTGAGAGCCTCCGGGCCCAGCCAAAAGCCTGTCGATCCTCCACGCACGCGCTCGTCTCCCTTCCTGCTCCTCCTCCTCCTGCTCTTCCCTGCCTTCCTCCTCCTCCCCCCTCCTTCTTCCACCCCCATCAGCCCCATTCCTCCTGCGCAGCCGCCTCCTCCTTCCTCCCCAGAGGCTGCTGGCGCATGAGATCTTCTGACCTGCAAGACCCGCCCTTGAACTCCCCTAGACTTGTGGAGGACGATCAATGGAGAGGAAGTATGTTGCCAAATACTTTCCAGATGTCTAAAACATGTGTTAAACATGTTTTAAAACATGTAAATCACATGTTCTAAACATGTTTAGAACATTTTTCCGACATTTGAAACACATTTCAAATTCAATGATAGGACTGTTAGGGTGTCCATTGTCGTGGCATCCACAACCCTGGACCCCCTCTGCTACTCCTCTCCCTCCCCATGCGCTGCTGCTGCTCCTCCTCCTCTTCCTCCTCCATTAGTTTCATTATACATAACTTCTCCCTGTCGCATCCCGAGGCCAGTTTCTAGGGCAGGCTGGGCGTTTCGCCTAAGACTTCCCCACCATTTATGCCCCTGAAGCTTAAACGTTGGCAACAGTTTCACAGATGGAGGGCGGGTGGTTTTCAAAATGTGGCTCTCGGCTTAGCGCCGCGCACAGTCGTTTTCAACACTTGCAAGAGTTTCACGAGTTCAGGGCGACTGGTATTCAAAATGTGGTTCTCGCTTTAGCGCCGCGCAGATGGGTTTTACAAAATTGCAAGGGTTTCACGCATTGAGGATGGTTTCGTTTCAAAATTTGGCTCTCGCCGTAGCGCCGCGCACATTCTTTTTAAACAGTTGCAAGTGTTTCACGAATTGAGGGCGGGTGGTTTTCAACATGTGGTTCTCGCCGTAGTGCCGCGCACATTCTTGTTAAACAGTTGCAAGAGTTTCACGGATTGAGGGCGGCTCTTCTTCAAAATGTGGTTCTCGCCATAGCGCCGCGCACATTCGTAGTGTCACAGTTTCCCATGATCAACGTACCAGAAAGTGCGTGTTGAAAAGATCCAGGATTATGCAGGTGCAGCAGTTTCGTTGACTCGCGGTGTTGGAGTCCCAGGAATGGCGTTTTGGCACGATTCAGGCTCGTCAAGACGCAACAGTCAGGTTGATCCGTGGCGTTGGAATCCCGAGAATAATGTTTTAGCATGCTTCAGAATCTTCAAGCGGTTGTCTTCCGGCGAGGCAGTTCCCTCAGTGGAGATGAACCGTTGCAGGAGCCTATGAAGAGAGAGCTTGGAGGAAGGGTCTATTTCAACATCGTTGATGACACTTGGGTTTACACTGGCACTTCTCCTCCTGCTCCTCCCTCTCCTCCTCCTCCTCCTCCTCCCTTCTCCTCCCTTCTCCGCCCTTCCCCCCATAACAAAAAAACTTGCCTCCATCTCCCACCTGTTCTCTTCCTTCCCTCCTTCTCCTCCTTCTCCTCAATCGCCTCACACTCGCACTCCGAAACTTGGGTGGGACACTCTTGCCGCAGACGACCCTAAACATCTTTGCACACAGGTACGATGGGGGCCACAACTGGGGGTCATGATGGGGGGATAGGAACAGGGACAGGGATAGGGATAGGGGTATGGATAGGGATACAGGGCCAGGGCTATAGGGTTGTTGGGATAGGGATCGTGATGCGGATTAGGACAGGGATGGGGATACGTATGTATGTAGATCAATCTACCTATATACAAATAACAGATATGTACATTTGATGGAGAAGGATATTGATCATCAGGGATCGGAATAGGGATTGGGATAGGGATAGGAATAGATGCCGAGGATAAGGCTACAGTATATGTATTGAGGCAGAGCGATAGGGATAGGGATAGGGTTAGGGGAACGGATCGGGATATAACGAAACGGACGGCAATGGGAGGCCACATGAGACCAAGGATAGCCACGGGAGGCCAGGGGAAACCACGGGAGGCAACGGGAGGCAGGAGGCAATGGCCGGCAACGTCGCCCGCCCGACTCCAGATCTGGCAGGTTTAAAGAATCCTTCCAGAAAAGCTGTTTAGGGCAAAAACAGCCTCCCCCCCCTCCTTCTCCTCCTCCCAAGAGATCTCTGGAAGTCCCTGGACGTCTCCAGAGGTCTCTGGCGTTTTTCCCAGGGGCCTCGAGAGATCCCCACGGGCTGCCAGAGGCCCTCTGAGTTCTTAAAAGCGAGAGAGAGACAGAGAGAGAGAGAGCAAAGGAAGGAGAGCCAGTCAAACATTGATCCTCCAGCGTCGATCTTCGACGAGCCCCCCTCCTCGGCCGGCTGCGCGGGAGGAGGGGCAGCGCTGGCCGCGCCGGAGGGGAGGTGCGGACTCGTGCCGCGCGTGCGAAGGAAACGCCAAGGAGACGGAAGCCGCAGGGCGCAGTCGGACAGAACGCCCAACCCTCCCCACAGGCGCCTCTTCCGCCCCATCTCTTTGTCCTCCTCCCCCCCCATCCTCGACTTCCTCCCTCTGGGGGCGGTCTTCATAAACGCATCCACATCGCCCAGGGAATGGATGCACGAGGACCCCAGGAGGGAGTGTATGTGAGTATTGTTGCCCACCCCCCTCGAGGCCCGAGAGCATTTATATCCACTGCTTCCTAGGGTCCTGGGACATCGGTTCCCAGGGCGGCGGATATGTATAAGCACTGTCATCGGACTCCTCCCTCCCCGATTTCCTCGCACCCCCTCGGGTGTTGCCCAAGGTGGCACTGGCCCAAGGTGTCCCCAGCTTCCCGCGCCATTCGTTTGTAGCCCCTGGGGGCCCTTTAGGCTGTGGGAACCGTGCCCTGGAGGCCATCTGTGCTGCCCTGGAGATCCTGTGGACACCTCATGCCAGAGACACTTTGGACAGCAATCCCCTCCCCGAGATCACCTCGCCTTTCGCCCTTCCCCCCCTCGATCGAGGGACGCCAACTGACCACCTCCCCGATCCTGGCAAGGCCGATCCTGCGCCCAGGATCGGCGTAGATGCTTTTTTGTGAACTGCAGGGCGGTCCAGCGGGCGACGCTCCAAAGGCGCTTGGAGGGACCCTCGCCCCCTTAGGGGCTGTGAGCCGCGTACCCGTCGCCGCTTCTGTGAGCTCCTGGGGGGCCTGGCGAGGCGACGCCCGCCCCCCGACTCGAGCGCCCGAGATCGCCTCCCACCCCTCTCCCGGAGCCAGCAGGCCCACAACTCTGCACCGACCCCAGGCCCGCGACGGGCCTGGCCAGGCTCGGTGAGCTGGCCGCTGACGACCCCCCGGCCCGGTCGCCCGAGGTCGCCTCCCTCTCCGCCCTTTGCCCACCCCTCCCCGCCGAGGCCGGCTGCGACGGCCTCGCGGGCGCCTGGCTCATCTGCGGCTCCCGCGGGGGGAGGGGCAGCAGCAGGGCAGCCTTGGGGCGGCGGGCGCAGGCGGGCGGTTCCGACAGCAGCGTCGTCCTCGTCGTCGTCGCTCCTCCTCCTCCTCCTCCTCCTCCTCCTCCTCTTCCTCCTCCTCCTCCTCCTCCTCCTCCTCTTCCTCCCCACTCCTCCGCTCACCATCACCATCACCATCACCATCACCATCACCATCACCATCACCATCACCATCATCATCATCATCATCATCATCATCATCATCATCATCATCATCATCATCATCATCATCATCAAGCAAACACAAGGAGGCCCTCCGAGTTGTCAAGATGGATCAGTGGGCTCCCCCCGAGGCCAGCGTGAGCACCTCTTCCCTCCTCTCGGCGGCAACGCACGACGGGACGGACACCGACGACGAGACAAACCCCACCTTCGAGTGCAACATCGGGTCGTGCCAGAATTGGATTACCACGCGCTCGGCCACTCCAAGTGCTCCCCCGCCGCGCCCTGCGCCATCCAGATGCCGTCCCTCGCCCGCCATCGAGGACACCCCTGATGTAAGCGCGTCCAACTGCCAGTCGGTGGAACACATCGCGGGCAGCGACCTACGCAGCAGGCCTAGACATCGACCACTTCGACGGCTACAAGCAGCACAGCGCTCAGCAGCAGTATATGTAGCGCCCACGCGGGCGATCCGAGTGGCTAATGTTTCCTCTACGCCTACTCTCCCTGGACAGGGGGACGACGCCCAAGCGGAGAGCGTCGGGGCGACTCCCACTGGACCCCTCCCAGGGCTCGAAGGGCTCGGGCACCGCTACGACGACACCAAGCAGAAGCTGGTGATCGGCGCGCCCACGCGGGAGGGCCAGGCGGTCCAACACCGAGGCGTGGCCCCAGTGGGCTGGCCCGAGGAGGAGGTAGGCCACTGGCTAGAGACGCTCGAGCAGTGAACCCGCCTTGCTTGCCAGAGCGAGCCTGTCTTTCTGCCAGAGCGAGCCTGCACGCCACAGCGCAGGCCACAGCGCAGAGGAGGCGAGTCCACGCCGTGTCAATTTTTTGTTCGAGGCTAAGGCCTCCTCATCACCATCATCACCATCACCATCATCATCATCATCATCAGCACCATCATCGTCATTACCAGTATCGTTATCATTATCCTCATCACCATCACCATCTCCATCATCATCATCATCAGCATCATCGTCGTCATCAATATCCCCATCATCAGCAGCAGCATCATCAGCATAATCATCAACATCAGGATCAGCAGCATCATCATCATCGTCTTCGCCATCGTCTTCATCGTCATCCTCATCAGCAACAACAACATCGTCATCCCTACCTTCATCATCACCATCATCAGCATCACCATCATCATCACCGTTATCAGCATCATCATCCTCATCCTCACCATCGTCATCGAAGTCGCCCATCATCATCATCAGCATCATCATCAGCATCAGCATCATCTGTATTATCGTTATCACCACCATCATCTTATCATCATCGGCATCAGCATCAGCATTGTGATCATCAGCATCGTCATCACCATCTTCATCCTTGCCACCATCATCCTGACATCACCATCATCACCCTCCTCACCGGCATCATCAGCATCATCATCACCATCACCATCGTCATCAGCATACGCACCATCATCCCCAGCATCATCGTCGTCATCAGCAACATCCCCATCATCATCAGCATCATCACCGTCATCATCAGTATGCTCATCATCATCAGCAGCAGCAGTGTCATCATAATCGCCATCGTCATCGCCATCGTCACCCTCATCAGCAACAACAACAGCATCGTTGTCTCTACCCTCATCGTCGTCACCACCATCACTTTCATCATCGCCATCAGCATCGTCATCATTGTCGTCATCATCATATGCATTATCGGCATCATCTTCATCACCATCATCCTCATCATCGGTATGAGCATCAGCATCATCACCATCAACATCACCATCTGCATCCTCGTCCTCATCATCCTCGGTAGTTTCAGCATTATTATTGTCATTAGCATCACCATCGTCACCATCATCACCATCACCATCATCACCATCACCATCATCATCAACAGCAGTACCATCATCAGCATCATCATCTTCTTTTCCTCCTCCTCGTCCTCCTCCCTCCTCCTCCCTCCTCGCTTCTCATCCTCCCTCGTTCCTCCTTCCGTCGCCATTTTGGCTCAAGCGCGGGCCGGGGTGCCCTGCCCGTGCGTCTGCATTCCGTGCGGATTTGAGCGGCCTCCATCTCGAGGTCGAAGGGCAGGGTCGGGCCGCTCTGCGAAACGCATGGCCATGGAGGCGACCTACCAGCAGGGCCGCAGCCGCACATCTCGACCCCTTGCGGGTACGAGCTGGAGGCCCCGGTGCGTGGTCAGGCCTTGATTGGGGCCGAGGGTCAGAGAGCGCCTTCTTCTGCAGGACCATCAAAACAGGGACGTCAAGGTGGTCAAACGCCTCGCCGCTTAAGCCGACGAAGATGCGCAAAATCCAACCATTCGTCTATGTCCAAAATTGAAACTTCACGCATGGTGTGCTGCATCAGTTGCAGCTTGACCGAACAGGTTGGTTGCGCCCCTTGACGTCCGTTTGGAGTGCTCTGGTGGCGCCTACTCCGCTTCCACCCCCACCTGGCGACCTCCGCACGTCGACACCGCCGAGCACATGGGCGGGCGCGGGTTGGCCAGCGACGCACATCGCTGCAATGAAACCGATGGTGGCTACGGTGGAGACCTCTGCCAAGAAACACCTTGCTTTGCTTGTCTCCAGGGTGACCTGGGTTTCTTGGGTTTCGATGGTTTCGCTATGGAAAGCGTGGCGTTCCAACACCAAAAATCAGTCTGCGTGCTGGGGTCTCAGAGTTGGGTTTTTTGTGGAAGGTTTCTTGTGGCCGGGTTCCTACTGTATGTCTCCCTCGTGCCATGTCCTGCGAGACCAGTCCTGCACCTGCGACAAAGGGCCACGTGCTGATGGAGGCCTCGCACATGCGGGATGCCGCCGGGGGGCTGCGAGGAAGTGGCGCAAGAGGAGCCGCAAGGGGCACGAGGAGTGGGACTCTGGCATTCAGCAGGGCGTGGAGGTGGCCCAGAAGCTTTCGAGCTGCGGCAAGGACATCAACGGAGACAAGGTGGAGTCGATTCGAGCGGCGCCGCATGTCCTTCCCCCAGCGCGTGTCCTTCCCCCGCGGCCGCCTGCGCCGCAGCGGGACATGAAGAACGTCGTTGCGACCCGTGGACAGGAGGAGGAGGAGGAGGAGTTGGAGTTGGAGTTGGAGTCCCTGGACGTAGTCCTTCCAACACTTACTGACACCCCTTCTGGGCTTTACTCGCTAATTCCGCCTTGCTGTATGCCTTGGGCCACTGGCCCTGAAGCAATCCGACAGAGGTATTCTCTCCTAGTGGGTGTGGGTTTGGAAACGCAAGCTTTCCTGAGGCCAAGAAGCTGCTGGTCCCCGTACATCCCACAACACGCACAACACCAAACCATTAACACGGCGTGATACCTCAGGCAGTGGCAGGGGTTACAGAACCCCCCAGCGAGATGAACGGTGGCCCCCTCAGGAAGTGCACCAGGGGAGCTGTCTCAGGCCACGAGCCTGAACCACGGAGACTGACGCCACACCTGGACGCGGGCGGCCGACGCAGACCACGACAACGCAGGCACCGTCGGCCACACTCCGAGAGGGCGCGGGGCGTCTCAAAGACCGGAATGCTATCAGGGCAGAGGGGGCGGAGGCGGGGGAGGGGCAGCAGCAGCATCGGCAGGCTCACCATCATTCCCACCATTCGCCTCCCGAGTTCCTCGCCTCGGGTGCCGCCGCCTCCCGCTTCAGGAGGCTCGCCTGCTGCAGCTGCTTCTCGGCCTCCAGGGAGTCGAGGTGCGACAGCAGGATCCTCATACGGATGAGGCACAGTACCCGTTCTTTCTCCAGAATGCTGGCACGAATACCTTCGGGCACTCTCGCGAGGGCTGCACCTTCCCCTGCCAGGAAATCTGCAGCTGGGTTGCCGGAAGTCGTCCACGAGGACTCCGCTTGATGTATAGCAATGTCCTCAGCCTCCCTGCGTGAGTGCGTGAGCAAGACTGCGCCTTGCTCGGGCCTCCTGCCGCCATCACGGGAAAGCAGACCGATCTTCGCCCCCCGCTCAGCGTGCTCTTCCTGCAGGCCGTAGATCTGCTGGGCCCACCAACCGTCAGAGACAAGGTTCTTATCTGTCACATCTGTGAGATGCTGTGTCGTCATCCGCAGGGCGCTCCCCTCGGTGCCGTCTGGACAGCACCTGGGAGCGCACCGAAAATGGACACCTGCAGCTGGAAATCCGTCTCGCTGGCCATCTGCACCAGGCCGAGCCCTACGCGGCGAAACCTGGCATCTCTCGGGAGTCCCGTCCGCCGCTGGCGTCGCCGAACAGTAGCACAGGCCCAGCGTCTTCGCTTGGCCCTAAGACCCCATCGACAATTCCTTCATTGAGACTTGTCTTGAACCACAACTCTTGATCGGGCGGCTCTGGCACTCCGGTCCACGCGGCCGACATGGCCCCCCTAAGCCAGTATCCTGGCTCCGACTCGTGCTGCGGCACCGCCATCATATGCAAATCGTCCATCTTGGTCTAGACAGGATGATCGATACTCTTGTCACATCCCCAAATACGGTGAAACCGAGACTCGTCTTCCTCCTTGCCCCTAGGAAAAGTGGACAGACCTGAACTTTCGTAGCCGCCTGAGCCCTCCTGAGCCTCGGCCACGAACCTCCCGCCACAACAGCCGCCAGCAATTCCGAAAGTCTCCGTCCCCTGGGAACCTGCTCGAGCTGCCTCATGAGATAGTGGAGAGAATAAACGTCCATACCGTGGCCCAAACATCCTCCACACACATGCCACAAAGGCTTCTCCGACGATCGGTTTAGAAAATGCAGGAAAAAGAGTTTTGTGCCATTCACCGCCGAACTATCCGAACAACCAGCCTCTGGGAAACGTCATTCAGTGACT